ATATGTATATATATATATGTATGTATGTATGTATAGATTTAAAGGAATAGCATGGGGTTATTATACGAGTCCCGACCATCTCTGACGCGCCTGACAGTTCGAGTACCACACCCTCTACTGAGGGAAATCGAACCCTAGACCAGAGAGGACTTACAACTGACAAGCAGATGTCTGACCATCTGATCGAAGTAAACGGGCTATATATGTGCGTTTGGATGCAAATCAATTGTACGGGAGAAAGAATCTCCCAACACGTCATATTTCACAGCAGAACTGCAATATGCACATAAGAGTAAAATGCTTATGTCAACTCAAATAGAAAATTGTGAGGCAAGCCCCCAAATAATCTTCGTGCGGGATAGATATTAGTGATATTCTGAGATGGTCAATTAATCGATTTAAATTAGGATAATTTATGTAGTGATTTTCTTTTCTCAATCGTGATGGAGATCGAAGATGATGATGAAGTTGAGGAATGGAACATGGCTCCCACTTTTGTCGACTGATTTGGTTTTGGATTTGACCTCCACTTTCATAAATGCTTTTCAACATTTTTTCTTTGTTGATTGTCACAAGCAAAGTAGGATTAATAGGTTGGCATTAGCTCATAGACATTTGTGTGGTTATTTTTTATATTAAATTATTGGTCTATTAGTTTTTATTTTTATAGTAGACAAAATATCTATGTTACCTATGGGAATTGATAGAGGTAGGGGTTGATTGGTTTGTTTAAGAATAGGTGATGAATTTTGTATTTTTTTTATTTGTTAAAGAAAAATGAAATAAATGGAATGTACTTGGACAGCAGACAACGATGGTGGCAAGCGATGAGTGGTAGCGGGCGATGACTGCAGGTAGGCGATGACGGGCAGTGAACGAAGACCGTGTTGATGTGCGGCGACAAACATAGGGGTGATGACCAACAATGAAGAGTAGCGGTGAGCAACCGGTTGCAGGCTGTGAGCAGTGGTGCCAGACATGTATATACTGGTATATTTGGATTTCACCCAAGTCTAGGCACTCCATTTGTTCATCCAACTAAACAACCAAATCTCTAAAACTCCCACAAAAAAATGCAGTGCACTGTTTTTGTACTAAACTAGACAACCTCAGAATGTGCTTTAAAAGAGAAAAAAAATTATAGGACTAAACTATAATGAAAAACTTCATTATTAGTATAAGAACTTGTAAAATCAACTCGTTTAGAAAGAAGTGTCTTCATAATGTCAATCACTATCATTTTATAAGTGTTTTTGGCTCAGACCTATTGCTTGTTCATCTCTATTGTTTATAAGCTAAAAATATTATGCAAGTTTGGCATGTCATTTCATCCTTTACGGTTATTTCAGATTTATATGAATATAACTTTTTATACGTAAAAAAAGCTTGCGTATGTGAAATATAATATATAAGATATAATATGTGTTATATATTTTTTTGCCATTCAGAAAAAAAAAGTACAACTTTAGGAAAACATGTAATAACCATTTAAGATTTACTTAACAATTAATACTCATAGGTTTCTCACATTTAGTGTAAGGCTTTACACGGTTATTGTTATACTCTTATGACATCCTGCTTTCTTATCTCGTTAGCCTCTCTAGTGATCTCCTGTGCTAGCCGCTCTATTAATCCTCTAAATTTTAGTTTACTTTCTTGGGCCTTCTAGACTATTTGTAGAGGAGCAGGGGACAAAAGGACAAGTGTTCATTGAGGATAAGCTATCTTAACTTGTGCTACACTCCCGTGGCTCCCTTTTCTTCCGAATCATGTATTTTTTCATAGTATGTAGCTCATTTTCTTCATTTCCTTAAACATGATGTGTTGATGTATTATTTCATGTTAGAATAGTCTTCTTGGATTTAAGCATTTTCTTGGTCTAATCGTCAATTTTGGCTTGTAAGTATAATCAATTCAATCGTTAGATTGAGTCAATTACCATCCCATTGCTTATCTATCTTGTTTCAGCCCAGCCCATATAATCCATATGCAAAAGAGATTATATAAACTTAATGGAATAGAGGGAGGGATAAAGCATTCATTTATATTATATTTTAAATATTCATACTATTAATTTCATCAAAGCTTATAATTAACCCTCCAAAATTCAATATTAGTAATCCATTATACAAAGCTATATTAAATCCACAAAAATACAATCAAACAATAAACTATGTCACAACACAAGCCGCAATTACAATAAGAATAAACTTCATCATATTACATATACGATTAAATTATGTTTCTATCCAAACAACTATATGTTTCATACTATTTATGATATTTGTAGATCCTGGACATTTATTTCATCAATTCTTTTCGTTTATCTAAAATGGAAAACAAAAGTAGGTACAACAAAATTAAGCATAAAGTTTAGTAGGTTTCCCAAAATATATCAAAGAATTCATATCATCAAAAGAATATAATATGCAAAAAAACATAATATGGATGTTTATCAATTTACATGAGGCACATGATGGTTTTGTTTAGAAGCCTACTATATAGCTTAGGTTTATTAATGTCGTACAATGAAAAAATATATGTACACACAAGATAGTATTTATTTTTTATCAACACATAAAAAAATGCAACAATCAAACATTTTAAATAGTTATTGGTTTAACTATCTTGCATTTCATCTTCTTTCATTTTTATAATCATAGTAGCACAGTGAAACCATCATCATTGATAGGATCATCGTCCTATTTTTTTGTAGACATCATAATCATCCTAAAATTTTATAACATATTATCCAAACTTATGTCTACTCACTCATTCCCTTTTTAACCTTATAAGGAATCATCTGATTGTTCTTTGTTATTTATAAATCTCATCATTTTTGCTTCCTTTATGGAATATACGGATCTACCAGATCGTGGATCATTCATTTACCCATTCTTTTATTATTCATGCACTTTAGTCATTTATATAATGAATTAAATATTAAAAATGCTAGTATATATAAAAAACAATACATGTTGTTA